CTAATCGATTATTAAATTAGTCATCGGTTATTTTAATAATCGATTAGTTGTTGATTAATCGAATAATCGTAGCAGCCCTATCTCAAATATTAAAATAATTGGTAACATTTATTTTTTTAAATATTCCCATGTAGACATTCCCCTTTGACATCACTTCCTGTTATTTCACATGCAAATATCTAAACAACTGTCCATCTGTGCAACCTGAAATTTGTTTTTGAATATGTTAATAATGTTGTTTTTCCAAAAATGCTTTCACTTTTCTTACAAAAAAATGATGTCACATGCACTTTAAGGTTTCATCTCGTTAGGGTCATTAGAGGATTTCCTGAAATTAAATTATGTTTAAAACTGACTGCTAAGAATGTTTCTGCTATATATGGATAAAAACAGTTGGTAAATTAGCAATATTTGAGTACTTCAACAAAAAATACTTTGTTTCATGCGTTTCTGCCATCGTTTATATTTGTCATTTGTGTTTATTATGAAATTGGTCTTAAATTGAATTTCACTTGACATTAAAAAGTCTTWAAAAGTCTTAAATTTAACTTTCCTTAAACTGTAGGAACCCTGGAATTTCAGTTATCCTTTACCTTCRACAGTGGGCGACTGTTTGATGGCAGCACTAAACGATGAAGCCTGAATCGGGCCGATCCCTGTAGAGTCCTGTCAGAATCTTTTTTTTAGGGCTCTTGGCTGGACCTCGTGTCATAAAGAGGCCTTTTAGTGTTCATCCTGGCATCTGTTTGTGTTTTGCAGCCGGTTCCCCCCCATGGCCATTGACGGGGTGACCAGTTTGGCTGGCATCAACATCCCGGGACACGCCAGCACCGGCTGGTGCATCTTCGTCTACAACCTGGCTCCGGATGCAGACGAGAGCATCCTCTGGCAGATGTTCGGCCCGTTTGGCGCCGTCACAAACGTCAAGGTCATTCGCGACTTCAACACAAACAAGTGCAAAGGATTCGGTTTTGTTACCATGACTAATTACGATGAGGCCGCTGTGGCCATAGCCAGTCTGAACGGATACCGCCTGGGGGACAGAGTTCTGCAAGTGTCGTTCAAAACCAACAAAACACACAAAGCCTAAAACCCACTGAGATTGTTTGTTTGTAGAAAACTCACCAGGAATCGGATAACGGAAGCGTACCGACCGTAACTTTCTACATTAGTAAAACAGCTTTGTAATCAGTATTTGGCGCCCAACAATGTGACTTTCKTTCAGTTTTCTTCATTGCTACTCTTTGGATCTTTTCATTCTAGTTTTAAAAAATCCTGCAGGTTTTAAAGCCTGTGTTGTTGAATCTTTGCTGTCTCCACAGATGGACCACCTATAATGTTACTCTAAGTTTGTTTGTTTTTTTGTTTTTTCATTAGTTGCACATTACTTTAAAACAGTAAGTCTTGTAAGATTCTGTGTTGTGATTTTTCTTTGTACTTYTGTGTCCTGATTTGTGCGTTTCTTAGCTTTGAGTGGTTAGCAGGTAACTTCTTTTTGAGCTGTTTCTGTTCTTAGTTTGTCGTAATAAGTTGGTAATTAATTGGCTGCATAACGTTGCTTATTGTAAACTTAACGGATAAAAGAAAAAAACAAAAAAAAATTCCTAAAGCAGTACCTTGCCAAAGAGCTAAGAACCTCTTTGATGTGGGTTTAAAAAAGCATCTATTTTTATAAAAAGAAAAATTTGGAGAAACTTTTTACTGGACCTGGAACAAAAATATTTTGACTTGGATACTTTGAGAAATACCTTCATATGACACCTTGTGAGCTTTTGAACTTTAAAAAGAGTTTGCATTGGTTGACATTTCTGGAGAGATTTATGATGTAAAGATACCTTTTGAGATCTTTGTATTCTCTTTAGATTACAGAATCAGTGCCAGTGCTGGTTTTCATTTGTAAAATCACCTGTGGGTCCTCCTCCATGCCGGTTGTCTCGTCCACTATTAACTCACTTTAAGATTCGATTTGCAAACAGACAAAAATAAGACGTTTATTTGCAAGAAGAAGAAGAAAAAAACACATGCATGCAAAAATCTTAAAAGGTTATTGGGGAGATTGAAATCAGTTCTTCCTTAACGACTCTCTTCAGATGGTGTTGTGTGGTGTACCTACGATATCATTAGACTGATTTTGTCTTAATATGAACCATTGRAGGTTTTTACATACTTTGTATGAAAGAATGAGGACAAACTAATAGAGGCAGCAGCATTAAAATAAAAAGTCAGAATCAGATGACTTCTGAGCTTTGAGCTGTGTAAATAATCGTTTTATTTTCCGTTGTATTAAAGCAGACTTCTTTTGGTTCTAGTTTAGACTTCATTGGAAAGTGTGATACATTTTATTTCTCCCCCGTATGTCCGATAATTTCTTTATTTGACCTTTTGATTATTAGTTTCCATTAGTTGGAATACTTTTTGTTCTTTAAACTAGCATAACAGTGCATTCAATTTGTCGTTTAGTCTGTAGATAAGTCTTGCTTCTTTAAAAAAAGTACTATAGACATTTTTTTTTAGTATGTATATATATACAAACATTATAGATATATATTTATGTGGTAAAGAATGGATATAAACCACAGTTTTGAACTACTTTACTTTTTTTCATACTCATAAATATATATAAACGTAATGCATATAACCTGTCGTTAAAAAAAACAAGGTGTATATTGCTTTATTCTCTTCGGGGAAGGACAGTGAAGCAGTAACATTAACAGATTTGGTTGTTTTTAAACATTCGAACATCTCGGCCAAACAAACGGAGGCTGCCGGAGCCTTTCAGATGCACTGAAAACTGACCCTGCATCCTGCTTTCCAACCCGTCCCTGGTCATGCTTCCCCTTGAAACGAGCAGTKTGCTATGCATTCTAGAGTTCTCTGCAACTGCTTTTTCTTTCTCTCCTCCCTCCTTTGTGTTTAATTGTAACCGTTTAAACTTTAAGTCGAGATGAGTTGTGACACTTGCTGCTGTGAGGGGAACAGAGGGCACATTTTTCATGCCTGACCGAACGAACTTCATTGGATTTTTTATTTTATTTTATTTTTTTCTAACCTCTTGAGATTTTTTTTATTTAAATTTATTTATTTTTTGGGGCAAACTGTGCCGATGGTCCGGCATGAATAAATGTTCTCTCCAAACCCCTCTTAATCTCCATTCTTAATGGGAACAATTATTTATTTGAAGTTGTATAGTCTGACTTGGTTGACAGCATTTTTGGAATAGAATCTTTTTGTTGACTATTTAAGAGGATGTACATGTTCTTTACTTTGTGTTTGGATACTTTGGATTTTTTTCAATGTTCAGTACATCAATAAATAAGTTTGAAGGGCAGTCGAGCTCACGAGATTCTTTGTACTAAATTTACATGGAAATGTTTTCTTTAGTTCTGGTTTTTACCAGTTAATCAGTGTTCACACAATCTTAAAATAAGAAATTGGGGGCCTTTTTTTTAAAACCTGGCAGCAAAACATCAAAGTCTGGCTTTTCTGTTCATCCTGGATTTTATGAGCCTTGATTTAGATTCAGTGAAGCGGAGCCAAATGAGTAACGTAGTGAACCTTCTCTACGACGTGGACTCAACRTATTCAGGTCACTTAGCTTAACTCACTACAGTTTATACCCTGATGCTGCRAAGGTTATCAACTCTGCTTCTCTGACTGGATTAGTGATTAAGTCTGAAGCCGGGTACACACCAAACGCGTTTGGAGCAGCCAGTTTACATGCAAAGTCTATGGTGGACGCTCATCTAGGAGCAGCGCAGCACGTAGCGGCGCATTTTGCCAGTTGAGAGCAGCGCGCAACATGCGGCAGAGCATTTCTCTGCACATGTGGCAGCTGCAAAGCAGCGGCTGCTAAAGTTCAACAAATTGAACTTTGGCTGCTCGCCACGCAGCAGCAACCAATCGGGAGAGAATATTTTTTTCATGTGATGGTTTCATGAACCCGACACAGACTGACAGGAGCCTTTTTAGCTTAAATCGACACTCTGCAGTTGGTGTTCTAGCTGGAGATCAGCACCGATGTGATGAGACAGCAGCTCGCTGAGCTCTGGACAAAAAAAAAAGTCCCCCAGGGTGCAGTTCCTGGAGTGGCGAAACTTTARTAAATAAAACAAAGCCATTGTATTTATTTTATCTTTATTTCACCCGTCATTAAGGACAGACCGGAAAACAACCAAGACCCTCCTCCCTCTGCAGCCTCTAGTCTGTGGTCCCTGTCTGGGGGAAAAAAAGTTTGTAAGCGCGCCTCTAAATTGCTGTGCGCAATGTTCTCTTGCKCTTTAKTAAATAAAGCAAAGCTATTTTATTTATTTTATCTTTATTTCAAACGTCAACCGACTRGAAAAAGGACAAAGATGCTCCTCCCATTGCGCGTCTTTAGACGTGTTTGGTGTGAACGGGCAGCTGTTGACAAGCAGCCAAACACATGTGGCAGGAGCATTTTGGCTGCTCCAAACGCATTTGGTGGGAACCCGGCTTGAGACTACAGTTATGACAAGGTGGAAAGCTGCCCCCAGGTTGGGGGCAGGGGGGAGGTGGGTGTTTGCCTCAACCAGAAGAGTTTAAGTTTCTGGAGTCTTGTTCCAGAGTTGATGGATGGAGCAAWGGATGAGGATCTTCCTCAGGTCTGCTGGTGACGGAGCTGAAAGGCAAAGTTTTTATTTACTGATTTGTCTACGTTCCATCTGTGGTCCTGATGAGAGGTGGATCATGACCAAAGAGGGGAAAGAAAGCCAGAAGCAGCTGAAGTTGACTTTGTCCAAAAGGTGGCTGGCCTGGACTCTGCAGTGAGGAGCTCAGAGTGAAGCTGCATCAAAAACCATCAGCTGAAGTGGTTCGTCTGACCGGAGGACACCGAGCATGCCGCTGGAAGAATTTACATCCATTCTGACCTTGAGACGGCCTTGGGAATCCACTGTAGAGTTAAAAGTGGGATGTCTGGACTTACCACCTCCACCTGTTAGCTCTGTAGCCCAGCGTTGGACAGATGTGATGGATGGACATGGCTGCATTTAGGAAGCGATGGAGTCAGACGACCAGTCACACTGGGAACCAGTGATTGTGAGAATGAATAAGTATCTAAGTCACCACGTTGTTGGAGTAGGAATAAATCTATTTCTATGTGCAGGTGCCTCGTTTCCTCAAAGATCCTATTTAAATGTTTGAAATACAATCTGACCGGTTTTTAAAAAAGGTTTAAAGGACATGTAATCTGTGTCGATACACTCAGGGTCTAAAATTTAAAATTATTTAAAAAATTTAAATAAAAACTTGGATCATAATCTTTATAGTTTAGAGGTTTAAATAAAATTAGCATGGGTTTCCAATCAGATTTTGACTCCCGGTTTTGTTTGAGCATCACTGAGGAAAAATCACAACTTATTTCTTTAGCTTTAAAAAACTTCCTTTTACTTTATATTTTTGTTTTTAAAGCAAGCTGGTGRTGTCCACTTAAACATCTGGGGTAGGGTCCATTTCGAGGTTGGGTTACGATGGTAACAAAACTCAGGTAAAAATGTGACCAAACTTCTGCTAAAAAGGAACTAATTTAATTTTYTTGCCAATTATCTCTACAGGCTAACAGCCAGGCTTTTTTAAGGGGGAGGATCACAAATGTTTTTTTAGTTTGTCTAAAACATAAAAACACATTTTTATCCAGTTTATTTTTTGGGGGGGCATCATAGTAGGGTCAAAAATTTTCTCTTGYTAGTTTTTTCCAATGTGGGTGCACTTCCTATATTGGTTTTACAGCACCTGGTAGTCCCAGTCAGTCATGTTCAAGGTGGTATGGCCACATTACAATATTATAGTTTAGTGATGTTAAATGTTACTGACAGTTAATGCTAATGGTTCTCCTCCCTTTGACTGACAGATTTTAATTATAATTAAATGCARAATCTAACATTACCTCCTGTTTCCAGCTTTTTGTAAATGTTTGTCTACAAGACGACCAATGACAATGTAGTTTGGCTTTAGTGGCTTATTGTGTCCAGCTGCTTATTTTATCAGGAAGTTAAATGAACTTGRATTTCTTTAGGTTTAAACTAACAGTATCTTTGTTTTAGTCGTTCTGTGGCTGATCTTTAACTGCTGGATTTAAAAAAAAAGTGCTCCTTTTAGTCGTAATCCCAGCAGGTGTTTGAATCAGTTCAGTTGCTTCGCTGTCCGAAGCTCGAAGGAAGAAACCTTAGATTACAGGTTTAAAAGTAGTTTTGATTTGATGCTGACTGGTACCAAAGATGAAATGCTGTAAAGTGAGCGGAGCAGCTGCCACACTTGTCATTTTGGGAGCACTGTAGCTCCGTTTATTTGAGGAGGGGGGGGATAGTTACAGCTTGTGCAGYCATTTGAGCCGTGTTTGGCTGCAGGAGATAAGGTTATTCTGTGCTGCTTAAAAAGCTTTCAGAGCCTCTTCAGTATTTASTCTTCCATTAGCCTCCCATTCTTCTCTGAAAGCAGATTTTTACTCAGAAAAGATTYGTTTTCCTGCAGTTTTAAACAATTATTATTCCAGCTGATTGGTTCGTGGAGACTTCCAGGACGGCCCTGATGTGACAACATATTTAGCTCTCCTCTTTCATTGGCAGATGCGTTCAGTATTTAGGCTTCTTTAAGCAGATTGTTGTGATTRCATCCTGCTGCTGAAAGATTAGGTTCAGCAGTCAATGACCAGCTCAGATTAGCTGCTGGAAGTTCAGCTCTTCTAGTTATTTGACAGGAAACATTTAGCACATTTCCCCCAACAAGACGAAATTTACAAGTGTTTTGACAAGTGCTTTAAAATGACCTTTATTTCAAAAAGGGTGGGGGTTTTAAAATCACGCGAGGGTGTCACAGTCAGTGTTCAACTTGAATAAAATGTTTAATTTCTACATAAAAATCGACTCAAAACATAATTAGTGCTTTACTTTAATCTCTAAACGAGTTTTAGTTGCAGCACTTAAGGCTGGAAAAAGTAGTTGGAGCAAACATTTAATTCAAAAACCGCTCTTTTAGGAAATAATTAGACTTTTTTTCTGTGGCATATTTACATAAATTTGACAAAACTTCCGCAACACAGTCCCACATTATCATGTTTTTTTTCTGGAGGACTGTGCAGCAAAAACAAGTTCTTGTTGCATCGGGTTTCATCATTCGGTACTGTTGTGAGAAAATCCATAACAGTAACAAGGTAATCAATGACTGTTCGTGTGAAATTTGTGTGAATCAGTTGCCAGCGTGGCTGTCCTGCTTCCTGTTCCTGTTTTTGGATAAATCGTAGTTGYTACAAGAAAATGAGACTTTGTCTCAAAACGAGCTGCGTTTCATCAGATATGTTGAGGAAACATGAAAAATGTGAGCATGTGATTTTATACATTTATTTTTTTGGCTTAAATATTTTTGGTTTTATAAAAACAAAAAATTGGTATTCAACCCCACCCTTTTTAAAATAAATTTACTTTACTTAAATAAAATTCACATCTGGTGTTAATATGTTCACTTTAAAAATGGGATTCCCTTTTAATTAAAATTGGACTTTAAAATTATCGACCATTTCAGTTCAACATTTTTAGATATTTACAACTCTGACAGTGAAAAAGACTTCACCTGAAATCTTTAAAACAGAAAAAAATCACATTTTTATTTGTTTAGTCAAAAATATTGTTTACAAAATGTCTAATTTAATGATAGGTGGGTTTAAGAGGTTATCATTTGACTTTGTTTGGATCCAACTCACTTTTTAAAATCAGAAATTTGGGATAATGAAAATAAAAACGCAATGTAAAGTTTTAATTGGAATCTAAACAGTGACGTWTTAAATGACTTGAGACATGTCAAACTAAAAGTACATCTAGTGTACGAATATGTTACGCTAAGCTCATATCGGCACAATAAAACTTCATATTAAATAATCACATATAAAACTAAAAAAGAATCTAATTTCTATATTGAACTAATTAAACTCCTTTCGTCACGTCTGAGGTTGAGCTCTCCTCTATAACGATTATTCGGGGATGAATTAAACCCTTTTGGTTGAGCTTTTTGCCTCTCGGTTGCGTTTACAAGACAATAAAAGCCCCTCTCTCCTGGTTGTCCTTGATGTACAGCTGTAAAGTTTCTCCCACTTGACCGACCCCGTGGAGATCTGAGGATGGGCGTGGCGGCGTCCTCCATCCGTTTCCTGGGTCTACTTTAATGACGCCCGCCCGCCCGCCCGTCCGCCCCTGCAGTAGTGAAGCCTAACGTAGTGGAACATGATGGGACGGGGGATAAATAAAAGCTGTTTGTACATTCTGTCCGGACCTGCTGGTGTCAGCAAGTCGCACATAAACACGTGCCTCGGCTCCGTCT